AAACAAGTGATCATCTTGTGTAAATAACTGTTCACTAGATAGAGGGTATTATGCTAAGTGAAACGCGTAAGAAAGAGAAAGACAAATACCATATGATCTTACTTATATATAAGATCAAAAGAACAAAATAAACAAACAAAACAGAAAGAAAATAGATACAGAGAACAACCTGAGAGTTGCCAGATGGGAGGGTGGTTGGGAGCTGGGTGCAAAAGGTGAGGGGATTAAGTACAAACTGGTAGTTACAAAATAGTCACGGGGATGTAAAGTACAGCATAGGGAACACAGTCAATAATATTGGAATAACTATGTATAGTGCCAGGTGGGTACTAGTCTGATCAAAGAGATCGCTTCGTAAATCACATAAATGTCTAACTCCTATGCTATACGCCTGAAACGAATATAAAATAATATTGAATACCAAATGTAATTGAAAAATAAAATAACTGTTAACGCTGGGTAATTAGGTACAATGGGGGTTCACTATACCATCCTCTCTACTTCTGTGTATGTTTAAAATTTGCCATAATTTTTTAAAAATAAAAATAAAAACAAAAACCGAATCTCCTGACTTGGGCTAAGGGCCCAGGAAAGTCAGCAAGGCAAAAGGGACCAACACCGTCAAAGTGACAGAAAATGTGAACCAGCTGAGAGAAAGGTGTCACTGGAACATCATCAACGAGGAAAAGCTTGATGAAAGAAGTTTAAGAGGCCTGGCAGTCCTCATCAAGGGTGCTTTAAACTGGCATGGCACTGACTTTCTAGAATGCATTACATTTCTGTAAAGTTTTAATTTTATAATAGTCATGTACTGTTTCTCGTTAATGAGAACAAAATAGACATTGTGAGCCCAGACTGAAAATTCATATCAAGGGCCGGCAGAGTGGCGCGTTGGTTAAGAGCTGGCTTCGGACACCTGCTCTGAGCAGCAGGGTCGCCCGTTGGATCCCACATGGGCCAGTGACACTGCGCCCTCTACAGCTAAGATGGTGAACAACTGCTCGGCCTGGAGCTGGGCTGCGGTGTGTCGCTGGCCACAGCATAGGCTGCAGTGGGGTTGCAGTAAGCTACCGTGAGTGGCCAGCAGCTGGCGTAAGCTGCCGTGAGCCACCGAGAGCGGCCGTCCAATGGCCGGCAAGCGACTGCCTCAGCAGGGAAGAGAGCAATGATAATACCAACATGGGCCAGTGAGGCAACATCCTCCACAACTAGACTGAAGAACAAAAGGAGGCAACTTATCTGTTCCCTCCCCCAATTCCCCAATAAAATCTTAAAAAAAAAAGAAAATTCATATCAAAATTTTAATGGTTACAGAAAGAAATGAACAGGACACCATTTCCCACCAATCAGATCAAAAAGTGTGGTTAACACAGTGTGTTGGTGACATTATGAGGAAACATGACATTCTTACACATTGATAGGAGGGATGTAAAGTAGAATCATTCTGATGGGCAATTTAGCAATATGGATCAAAACGAAAAAAGGCACAACCCTTACCCACCAATTTTACTGCAAGGAACTTACTTGACTATTATTCTCACTATTAGAAAACAAGTCTAGTTTTAAGAATTAAGACACACAATAGTTGCAAAATTTTGTGGATATAGAATTTAGTACAGATTGCTTTCATCCTGTGATTGTAACTAAGCAATTTCAGAAATATAAATAATGGTCCTGATTCATCTAGCTTTTTAATATGGTTAAAAAACTCTTCAGCTCTGGCATCTCATAACAAATTGTGTAAAGTATTAAAAAAAGACAACTGAAGATACTATTAATTCTTTAATCTCTTCTTGCTAAGAGTTAACAGAAATGCTTAATCAAAAGGAAAAAGTGAGTAGGGGAAAATTCTTTTTGCTTGGACCTCAGATTAGGCGGCTTCAAAAGCACAAGCAACGAAAAAAAAAAAAAATAAACTGGACCACATCAAAATTAAAAGCTTTTGTACTGCAAACGATACCATTAAGAAAGTGAAAAACAACCCACAGAATGAGAGAAAATATAAATATCAGGGATTTGTATCCAGAATACATAAAGAACTCTTACAACTCAATAATAAAAAGGCAAGTAAATAAATTTTAAATTGGCAAAGGACAGACATTTCTCCAAAAAAGATATATGACTGGCCAATAAGCTCATGAAAAGATACTCAACATTATTAGTCATCAGGGAAACGCAAATCAAAACCACGAAATACCACTTCACACTCACTAAGATGGTGTTAGAAACAAAAACAATTGTAAAGATGTGGAGAAACTGAAATCCTCATACTTTGTGTGTAAAATAATGCAGCCACTTTGGAAAATAATTTGCCCAAAATGTCCACACAAAAAACCTGTACACAAATGTTCACAGCAGCATTATTCATAGTAACCAAAAAGTGAATGTCCCAAATGCCCATCAACTGATATACAGATACATAAAATGTGGTAGGTAGGTGCATACATAAAATGGAATATTATTCAGTAATAAAAAGAAATGAAAATGACCAATGAGCACATGAAAAGATGCTCAACTCATTAGTCATTAGGAAAATGTAAATCAAAATCACACTGAGATGCCACTTCAAACTCATAGGGTAGTAAAGAAAAAACAATAGAAGGTAACAAGTGTTGGTAGGCTGAAGAGAAATTGGAACCCTCATACATTGTTGGTGGGAATGGAACGTAAAATGGCATAGCAAGCTATGGGAAACAGTTAGCAGTTCCTCAATAAGTTAAACATACTTACCACGTGACACAACAATTCCACTCCTAGGTATATACCCAAAAGAACTGAAAACAGATGTTCTAAACAACACTTGTACACAAATGTTCAAAAAACGGACATTACCATTATGTCCATATCAAGTTAATCATGTGAGGTGATGGATTTGTTAATTACCTTGATCATGATAATCATTCCACAATGTATAACACATCAGCATGTTGTACACTTTCAATATATACAATTGTATTTGTCAATTATTCCTCAACAAAGTTGGGGGAGGGATTTTTTAAGTTCACCAACTGATGAATAAACAAAATGTGGTATATATCCAAACAATGGAATATTATGTAGCCATAAGAAGGAATGAAGTACTGACACATGCTACGACACAGATGGCTCTTGAAAACATTATGCTAATTGAAAGCCAGACCAAAAAAGGCCACATATTGTATATGTTCACTTATATGAAATATCCAGAATAGAGAAAACCAGAGACAGAAAGATTAGTGGTTGCCAGGGGGGTAGGGGGAGAGGAAAAGGGAAGTGACTGCTTAATGGATAAGGAGTTTCCTTTTAGGAGGATGGAAAAAAAGTTCTGGAACTAGACAATGGTGATGTTTGTACAACACTGTAAAGGTAGTTAATGCTACTGAATTGGGTACTTTAAAATGTTACATTTTGTTGTATATTTTACGCCACAATTTTTCAGAAATACTGATCATGCTTCAACATCGATCATCCTTGAAAATATACAAAGTGAAAGAAGCCAGTCACAAAAGTCCACATAGTGTATGATTCCACTGACATGAAATGTCCAGAATAGGCTAATTTAGAGGTCGAAAAAGTAGATCAGTGATTGCCTGAAGCTTGGGGGACAGTGGGTACAGGGGAGGACTGAGTTCCAATCCAATGGGTACAGGGCTTCTTTCAGGGGAGCCAAAATGCTCTAAAATCAGATTGTGGTGATGGCTGTGAACAGCCCTGTGAACATACAAACAAAAATACTGGATTCTACTTTTTAAATCTGTAAAACGTATGATATGTGAATTATCTCTCAATGCTGTTTAAAAAAGAAAAAACCAACCGCTGAGGTATAAACCTTGCAATTGCAGCTTAAATCTCACCTTCTCTATGACACCCCCCCTTATAGTAACCTCAGCCAATTTCTACTCCTTTACTTCCGTTGAAATCAGAACTATTACAATAGTGAAAGAGTTTATATTTTTTGTTTACTCTGTAATCTAAGTATGTTGAGAAACTGACTGAAGCTTAATAAATAAAATCGATTACACACGGACTTCTGTCACTCCGGAACTTAACTGTTGGGAGCGCGATCTGCGCTCCTTATGAGTCCGACGCCCAGAGCTTGGAATGATTCGTTTGCTTTATGGAAGCTCCCTAACTTGTTTCACTTCTCAAACTAGACTTTAAGCTCCAAAGCTGAGACCTTGACTTCCATTGCTTCTTCCGCCGCAAGATTAAAACTCCAGAAAGCCTTTACTAAATGCCTGCTGAAAGGCGGACTGAGCATGCCCGGCTTGGCCAAGTCAATTCAACAACATTCCGGAACAAAAACTATAGTTCCCGCGTTAAAAGGTGGAAAAACAGAAGACACAGGCATAATGCCTAAGGATTCGATCTAAAAGGAAAGAAGGCAAGGTTCAAGGGCTAAGTAGAAGTGAAGGACAGTACTTAACACAGCTCAAACTTCGCACTTGGTAGAGAGGTGTTGAGTCAGAACCAAAAAAAAAAGATAATAAAAAAGGCTAAAAAATAATGGATTAACGAGAGAAGGGAGGTCAACAGGAGGATGAAGGGCACCGATGACGTAGGCTAACCACACGTTTTTCCAAAGCAACCTTATCCAAAAATAATACTAAGATGATCAACCTTCAGCGTCAACACGAATACAAGGTATACCGTGATGAAGCTCACTTCGTAGAAGTTCCCTTTTTACAAACGAAAAAGCCGAGCCGTGGTCAACATATCCAACCACCAACGTTTGCTAAGCTCTCAGCTCCTGCCTTGAACCATTTCCACCGCCATCTTCTAGATAAGAACCCAGAACCCTTTTCTAAAGGGCTTTCAACAAGCATCACCTCCATGCAAAAGAACCGGGAAGGGTGCGTTTCCCAGGTTGCCCAGACGGCGGAAAGCAGGAAGCCTCCACCTTGCTCCTCTCCGCGCCTGCACACATCGGGCCACCGTCTTCCTTCCCCCAACCCGACCCCCGGCCCAGTTTTCCAAGGTCCGACGCGAGGGGGGCGCGAGGCCCGGTGCACGGGCCTCACCTGCACACGCCGCGGATGCAGGGTTCCAGCCAGATGCGGTAGGCGGTCTCGATGTGCTCCTGCGACACCTCCTCGGGCCGCACCGTCTCCGCCCAGCGCCAGGCCGCTTTCTCCAGCTGCAGCCGCGGGGCCATGGCCTTGGCTGGAGGAACTCCTCCCAAGTCGGGACGCCGCCGCTGCCGCCGCCACCGCCGCCGCCGCCGCAGCCGCCCAAATGGACTCCGCCACCTGCCAGCGATGAGGACCAGGCGCTCCCTCAGCCAGCTGGCCAGTCAGTCACCTGTGCGCGCCACTGCCGCCGCGCCCGCCCGCGCCCGACCCGCACGACCGGCCGCAAAGCGCCGCCGCCGACACCCGACACCGCCCCCCCAACCAAACTCCCGCAGACGTTAGAGTAATCCCCGCCTCGGCAGGCGCATGCGCGTTCCCAGCAGCCTTTGCGCCTCCCGCGCCTCAGGGCAGACGCGCGGAGGGGAGGAAAGGGAAGCGATCGTCGGACACTGTCTTGCCACGTCTTCACCGACGCTTCTGGGGAAGCAGCGTCTCAGCCCCTGTCCAGGGTAGCGTACTGCGTACCACTACTCCAACAAGCCGACGCCTCAAGGGCAGAAGGCTGCCTGTTGTCCTCTGGTACTTACCCTTTCCACCGTGGAGTCACGCGAGAGGCTACTCAACGCACACCATCGGTCCGCTGGCCTCTGGGGTGGGACGTGAAACCGAGTCACCAAAGCCAGGCTCGGCTCCCTAGAAGAAGATTTAACTTGAGCCTGGACCCGTTCCGACTTCTTTCTCAAGCCCTTCTGACGTCACGGGACGTTCTGGGCCTTTCCTGAATTAGAACTGTACTACGTGTCCCGGCATGAATTGCGTGCCTCCACCAGCTGGATTTGAGGCATACTGGGATTTGTAGTCTTCGAGGTGGGGCCTTGATGTGCCGCGGATTGTGCGGAGGCGCATGCGGGTGCACGCTGGGGCGGGGTTTCTCTGGCCCGGAGGGTCATTTTTGCAGCTGGCTGACCCACCTTGCTGCAGCTATCTCTAGATGATGCTTTCCTAGTTATCGCGTGAAGCTCTTCTCTAGCTTCCGGGTTTAAAAACAGATCCTTTTTTGCAACTTCAGCCCCAGGATATAAAGAGTAGTCTTAGAATGTTTTGAAAACTGTAAAGGGCATTGCTAGAGTGAGGATTTGAGGACTTGACATTTGAATGAGCCCTACTGGGTCTAAGCACTGATTTCTGACTCAGCAGTTTACCAGCTGGGTAACCTTGGACTGGATGCTAACGTGTGCTACTCACTAGACATCCCGAAGGCCTGATGAAAATAAGATGTGGCCCCTGCCATTGGGGGTGGGTGAGGTAAGAGCCATAGGAACACAAAGTAAGATCCCCTTCCAAAGTAGGTTTGGACTACTTGGGAGAAGCCTTCCCAGGAGCGAGAACTCTTAAGCTCACCCTTAGAAGATGAGTTGAATTAGGCAGGATAGAAGTAAAGCCCCATTCCAGACAAACGGGACAGCAAAAAGCAAAGGCACAGAAGAGAGGCATTTCTTGGTGTGAGGCCACAAATTATGAGATTGGGAGAGGCAAGAAATAAGGCTTGAGAGGCAGGCCAAGACTGCCTTTATCCGAGAGACTCACTGGAAGGGTTAAAGCTGGTGAACTATATAATGGAGATTTGCATTTTATGTAGCTTCCTTCGTTTTGGGTTGAGGTCAGGCTATGGAAGTAATACAGTCCAGAGATGATGAAAGCCTGAACTGCAATGGGTATGGAGTGAAGATACAAATTTGAACGATATTTAGGACATAAACTTGCTGCAACTTGAGATGTTGGTCTAATGAACATCTGTTCACTTTTTCTGTTGTTTGACCTTCAGGTTGAGTTGTGTGGCCCTTTCCTTGGTGCTTACATCTTCATGTGTCATCCGTTGCCTCGCTTAGCACATGATGAATATTATTAACCAGGTGCTGTCAGTTTTCTGCAATAACTTGGGGAAATTAAATGAAGAGGGTTTCTACTGTGAAAAAGAAACAACCCATAAGGGGGTCACTTTTGGTAAGCCCCACCTAATAGAGGCATATTTCATTGTATTGGGCTTTGCTTTATTGTGCTTCACAGATGTGTTTTTTACAGATTGGAGGCAAGACTCTTTTAGCAGTAGAAAGATTATAACTCACTTCATTGCAGTGGTCTGGAACCAAACCCTCAATATCTCCAAAATATGCCTGTATCTAACCTAATTGCAGTTTCAGCCTCTCCCAGGAATGAAAATTTAAACCAATCAGTCTGAAATACCCTGGTCAACCCTGGTGAGGTTCTCTACCTGTTAAGACCCCCTGCCTTTCCATAAGGGAAGGTAACATTGCCTGAAATAAGGTACTGTTAACTTCCTTGTCCCACCCTCTTTCTGCTAATACAGGCACACCTCATTTTATTGTGTTTCACATTATTGCACTTCACAGATGTTGTGTTTTCTTACAAATAGAAGGCAAGACCCTCCACTAGCAAAAAGATTACAGTTCACTTTATTGTGATACTGTCTTTATTGCGGTGATCTAGAACTATACCAGCATTCTCTCTGAGGTATGCTGTTGTCGAAGTAAGAAGTGTTCAAACCTGTAGAGAATTTCAATGAGTTTATTTGAGCCAAACTGACAATTGCCAAGAAGCAAAATCTCAATGGATTGAGAAAATGCTCCAAAGAATGGCAGTTTTGTAGCTTATTTTATACATTAGAATCAAAGGAGGGTTACATGAAATCCATTGGTGATGGCTTAAAGGGGAGGGAGAAAGCAAAGCAGGGATATCTCTGGGATTGAATAAAAAGTAAAATGGAGAGACACATCTTTTACATTGGTGGGTACAGGATAGTAAGTAACATTTACAGCACAGAGATGATATTCAGGGGAACAAGATAACGATGAGGGGTTCTGTGGTCTCTGCTCTCCTGTGGTAGGTGTGCCCTGAGGGATCCGGAAAAAGGATTATTCTGACTTTGCAAGGACACATTATCTTAGATGCAAAAAGACAATAGACAGGCTCACTTAATGTAAAGATTGACCTTTGCCAAGAAAGCTACAGGCTAGGGTGTGACTACCCGCCATGACCTGCTTTTAGTTAGGAATTTTTATGTTCAGACCATCCTGTGTGGTTAATTTCAGTCTCTGTTTCTAGGGCCCGCCGTTCTGGCCTCCCCAGAGCTTGTCAGGTTTAGTATGTGGCCCCTTTTTTGTCCATACTGTAAAACCTTCCATTCTGTACAACTACTCAGAACTCCCTTCTACTCGATAGATGCTGCCCAATTTATGAATCGTTTAATAATACCAATTAGATCTTCAAATGTGCTCAATTTAGTTTTGTTTTTTAACAATACCAAGTGAGATAGCACAGAAAAACGCGCAGGTTTAGAAGGGAGATGATTTCGATTTTTAATATATTGCTTTTCTGGTGCATCAGGGATATCCATGTTAGGACAGCAGACATTGAGTCTGAATCTTGTGTACAGTAAGTCCCCGACTTACGAACGAGTTCTGTTCCAGAAGAATGTTCATAAAGTGGATTCGTTCATAAGTCCAACAAAGTGAGTCTTATACACCTTTTACACAAATATACAATGTAAAGCCAACGGTTAAATGACTCATAAGAACAAATGACGTCTACCATCTTTTTGCCTCGCTCCAATTTCTCAATTATTTTCACTTTTGTTTCCATGGTTATTGCTTTGCGCTTCCTAGCAATCCTTTCCACATCACCACTGCTTTTCCTCTTGCTTCTGGACATCCTGGGCTCTGAACACTGTACTACTTCCTGTACACTATCACACTGTACAGTAAGCACACAGCAGCACAACTGTGATATTGTCTGGCAGACACGTGAGCTACTTCTGCGATTTGTTCACATCTACGAAGGTTCTTAGGTAATGCGAGGTCCGTTCGTATCTGTGAAAGTTCGCAACTCGAATGTTTGTAAGTCGGGGACTTACTGTATATTGTTTCTGCATCATGAATTTTTCAATCTCCACTAGATCATTCTCATTAGCATTCAAATATGCTGTAATTTCTCCCAAGTTTAACAACCCCTCTCTTTACTTCCACATCCCCCTCCAGCTACTGACTGTCCCATTTCTCTGCTCCCTTTTATAGCAAAACTGGAGTTGTCTGTACTCTTCTCCTGTTCCCCTTCTCCTAGTCCCCCTTAAACTCATCCCAAATCAAGCACTTTTCTCTATCACCCCTAAAACCACTCATGCAAAGGTTACCAATGGCCTCCACATCATTAAGTTCAGTGGTAACTTCACAGTAATTTAGCTGACTTATCCACAGGATTTGACCCAGTTACTCTCCTCTTGGAGACACTTTCTTCTTTTAACTTGCACAACACCACACTCTCCTGGTTCTCCCATCACTCACTGTCCATTCCTTTTTGGGTCCTTTGCTGGTTCTTTCTCATCCCTCTAACCTGTAAACTTGAGTGGCTGAGGGTGGTCCTTGAATCTCTCCTCTAACTACACTTACTCCCTGGGTGATCTGACCTCCTCCCATGGCTTTAAAAACCAGTTGTGTGTTGATGACTGTAAAAGTCCTATCTCCATACCTGACCTCGCTCCTCAAATGCCAGCCTTGTGTATCCTACTGCTTTCCTGGCATCCCCAATGCGCAATAGCTATTTCACACTTTACAGGTCCAAAACATATCCTTAATTCTACTTCCAGACACCCCAACCCCAAGCAGATATCCTTCTGTGATCTTTCCCACCTCAGCAGATGGCAACTCCATCTTTCCAGAAATCTTAAGGGGCAACTTTAACCTCTCTTTCTCTTATATCCCCACTCAAACCTTCCATAAATCCTGTCAACTGTGTCTTCAGAATATATACAGAATGCATCCACTAAACAGTTACCACCCTAGTCTCACCTGGATTACTACAGAAGCTTCCTAACTGGTCTCTCTGTTTTCACCCTTGCCTCTTAAAAGAGAAAACCACAGGCCCAAAATGGTGTCACTCATGCTAAAAGCCCATGATACCAAACCTAGATTTATTATTATTAATTTTTTTTAGCTGAGCCATCCTGCCACCTGTTGGCAGCTCAGCGGCAGCTCAGCTCGGGCCAGGCATCAAACCGCTGTTGCTCAGAGCCCACACGCTTAAGTGAGCTCTTAACCAACTGAGCCACTCAGCCAGCCCAAACCTAGATTTAATACTTGATCTAAATGCAGTTTCAACCTCTCCCAGAAACATAATCTCAGCCAACTAGTCTGGAGTTTTCTGGTCTACACCAATGAGAATCTGTCATGGTGGGCCCTCTCCATTTTCCCCCAACACACAATAAAAAGAAGAGGCAATCTGCATGAT